CATTTTTAAGTAACTAAGGGCCAAGTTCACAGTACAAAAAATAACAGTAAAAATATCTGTAGTTAACTGCCGATTTTGAGTTAACTACACCGTGTGAATATGGCTCTTAGTTGTACTTGTATTCCCATGAAAAAAAAATAAAAATAAAAGTATTTAAATAAAGGAACTAATTACATTAGCCAAACCTGAATGGATCTTTAAAATTTACACCTTATTGAAAACAGAATTTACAGGAGACTTTACCTATCTTTAAAAATTTACACCTTATTGCAAACAGAATTTACAGGAGACTTTACCTATAAATTGTACTATATACACTGGCGAAAAAACAGTGGAAAAACCCGTTACTCAACATGAACATTTTTTCCAAAAATTTAAATTTTTTGTATATTTTGTACAGTTTCTCTGCAATTTCTGTAAACAAAATAAGAAATTTACACATCGCTAGAAGTCCTCTTTTCCATGGAAACAAAATCTTTTTCATAGAGTAAACAGAAATAAAGGTATGGGCCAATATATGCCTTCACATATGGAAAAGGGGTTTTTGGCCCCAAAACTCCAGGTTTTGAGGGTGTATTGGAAATTCTGAGTATGCAGTTTTTGTATACTTGACTAGACCTACAACTTGAGATATGTATCGCAAAAAGTGTTTTTTCACTGTCACACAGTGTAATCGATTTATTGAAATTTATTTTCTTACATACATACATATGTATGCACATACTCATATACATATGTACATAGTTTCTTAATATTCCAATAACACCAATAATATACATACATATATTTATGTGAATNCACAATACATATGCACGACATCAAAGAGAAAATTAGCTTACAAACTGTGAACAAAACTCAACTATTTCTTTCTAAAATCCATAAAATTACTTAAAATAAATCTTAAAAAAATCGCAAAAAAAAATAACGCCGACCGATAAAACAAAAACATGTGATTATAAAGTTGAGCATTTAAGTTTGCCCCCGAAAGTGAAATTAATGGATACCGCCCACGTCTCAAGTATTAAAATCGGAAACTAGCTGATATGTAGAAACTCGAAACAGCAGCCATTATGGTGGTACTTTGGAAAATGCTTTGTTACATGATACTCGTACTTCTAGAGGGAACCCCCACTCATTGGTCTTGGGATGCACACAACATTTTAGCCTAAAAAAAAAATGATTTAGGATAGCTCAAATCCTGTGTTGCTGCTAACAGCGTAGCGTAATTTGTCGCGCAGTGTGGACTTCTTCTGGTAGTTTGGCAATTTCAATAAATTGAAGCAGGTGGATGACGTTGGCAAGCGATTCAGAGGATCTTTCTTGCGTATGGTGAAGAAGCCACGTATGACACTGCCAATAGTGTCTCCAGTGTCCTCGTCGTCACCAACTTCAACGCAGCGAATAGAAAACGGCGGCTCAAGATTGGCAAAGCCTAGCAGTGGAGGTTTTGAACAACTAGTTACAAACTGCAAAGAAATCGAGCATAAATGAAACTAAGCATAAATTTATGGACAAAAATTCCAAACCTTAAGAAACAATTTGCGCTCTTCCTCGGTGAAATCTTTGGCTAAGATGTCCCATAACCAGCCGACGACCCGATGGGAATCGTGAAAGCCGCCATAATACTGTGTATGCTTTCGTAGATCTCGGAGATCTAATGGCACTGTATCGCCAGAGATGAGACGTTGTAATTCAGGAGGAGAAAATAAAGACAACCATTCTGGATTGACAATACTGCGAAACCCACGATTAAAAGCCTGAGTCTGTTCGCGGATTTGTGTGTTCATATGAAAGTAAGCCATAT